GTGGCGGTGACGCGGGCGCGGCGCCAGGTGGCCGTGGTGTGTGACAGCCACACCGTGGGCAGCCGCCCCTTCCTGCGGCGCCTGCTGGACCACCTGTCCCAGCACGGCCTCGTGCGCTCCGCCTTCGAGTACCTGGATGACCTCGTGCCCCAAAACTACCCCGGGGAGGGCAGGGCACAGCCCCAGCAGGGCCCCAAACCACCGGGCCCCAAAGCGCGGCCGGCTCCGGCTGGGAAGCTCAAGGATGCAGCAGCTGGAGCAGGGAGCCAGAAACCGGGAGCACGGAGCTCCCCGAGTGCTGCCACAGCTGGGAGGGATGGCTCAGGGTCAAAGGAGGGTGGGGACAGGTTCAGGGCCATGCTGGTGGCCTTCCTGGCGAGCAGCGAGGCGCAGCTGGATTTCCCAACATCCCTGAATTCCCACGAGCGGATGCTGGTCCACGTGCTGGCAGAGGAGTACGGGCTGCAGCACCTGAGCTCCGGGGAGGGCCGGGACAGGTACATCAGCGTCCGCAAGAGACTCCCCAAGCAGCCCCCACTGCCCCCCGAGCCCCTCCCTGAGCCCCTTCCCAAGCCCCTTCCCGAGCCCCAGCATCCCCACGGGAACACCCCTGACCCTGCGGAGCCGGGGGAAAGCAGCAAGGGCTTGGGGAAAGTGGACCTGAAATCCCTGCACCTGGAGAGAGTCCAGAGGGAGAAAGCCAGGCGGGAGGAGGCGGCCAGGAAGGTGCAGGAGCCCAAGAGTGGCAGAAGGAAAAAGGACAAGAGTGAAGCCAAAGGTGGGTGAAGCTTTTTGTAACCAGCACAATTAATGCTCTTCCTTGATCCTGGTGGGTTTGCTCCAGGGACTTTGGGATTTGGGTGTGGGGCATGTGGCTCTTGGAAAGCTGCAGGAAGGTGGGAACTGGCTGCAGCATCCAGGTAGAGGGGTTTGGATACCTGGAGGCACATTCTGTAAGTGACAGGAAAAAGTTTTCCAGGAGAGAGTCTCAGGAATCACATGGGAGGCTCCCAAGAGTGGGGAGAGGAGCTGAGGGGAGTACCTGGCCCACACTGAAGGATGTAAAGGAAAAGTTTGCCCTGTGGCTGCAGGAGGGTGGGTTTGTTCCCAGGCCCCAAGCCAGGTGAGTGCTCACCTTTCCCAGGAAAACCAGCGGTCGGGAGTGCGGCCGGAGAGGATTTCGACGCTCTGATCTCCGCTGCCATGGAAGCTGACAGGACCTGTGGCTTCCCCCGCTGCAAGGCCTCTGTCACCACCCTGGGCCAGCTCTGCCACCACTGCCAGCGGCTCTTCTGCCTCAGCCACCACATCCCCGAGGTAAGGAGGGGCAGGACAGGCTCAGCCTGGGAATTTTCCCTGTGGAGCTTCCCAGGCAGGGAGTTTGAGCAGAGCCCTCCGTGTCAGAGCCTGTGCTGAGCTCAGGTGCAGAGGGCTGGCAGGTGCTGACACCTGGGCTCTGCTCACCTCTTCCTGAGGGATTTTCTGTTTTCCTCTCATTTTGTGCACTTCTTTACCATTTTCTGGCACTTACACTCTGGGGCCCTGTGGATAAAGTGAGGCAGAGAGCAGAAATGGGGAAACACAAGTTTCAGGCTCAAGGAGCCTGGACTCAATTCCCAGCTCTTTGCACGTTCCCTCTGCATTCTGAGGATGACCCCAGCCCTTTGCAGATTGTCTCTGCATCCTGGGGACAGGTCATGCACGGTGCAGTGCTGCCTGGCCAGCAATTCAGAATTCCCTGTGTCCTTGTTCCTCACCCTGTGGAACCCCTGGGAGCTCAGCAGCCCTATAAATCCTTGGCAAGCTTTTCCCTCTGTCAAGAGCTATCTGTTTCCATGGCAAGGAATTGTTGTATTTATGGTCACTCACATCCAGGGGGATGGAGATTTATTCCTGCAGAATGGCCTCTCCCTGCTGAACTGTAACAAGGCTCCAACAATTGTAGGGATTCAAATCCATGTCAGCCCCAGGAAGGGCTGTCACAGCTCTGAGGGAACAGGCTGGGACCTCACTCCATGGAAACATAAATGACTTTGGGATGGGCCAAGAAAAGGGATCGGATTTTAGGATCTCACCTGAGAGGGATAATGCCAGTGTTGGACTTAGCTCATTAAAGCATCGGATTGATGGCTAAAAACTCCTTTCCCAGTTCATGGAAATGAGGTGGAAGGAGCCACTTGAACCATCCCAAAGGATGATTTACCTGGTATTCAGAGCCCAGCACATGGATATTTATATTTCATTCTGTGTGAGAGGAGCTATTAAAAATTATTTAATAAAACACAAAATAATAAATATTAATTATTAATTTTAAACAATAAGAATAAATCTATAAAAATATAGGATCAAAATATAAAATGAAGGTAAATAAAAAGAAAATGAAAATAGAATAGTAAACAATGATAATGAAATAATGAATTGAAATTATAAACATATATAAGTATGTAAATTAATATAACATCACAATAATATAATAAGATGTAATGATAATAATGGCTGTAAATGATGGGAGGTGATTTTAGGGGGATGCAGAGCAGGCCAAAAGGAATTCCAGGCTCAAGGAGCGACAGCCCCTGTCTCCCACATGGATGATCCGTGCCCCGTGGCCGTTCTCTCCGCAGGTCCATGGCTGTGGGGAGAAGGCCAAGGCGCAGGCTCGGCAGCGGATCAGCCGGGAGGGGATCCTGTACCCCGGGAGCGGCTCCAAGGACAAATCCCTGGATCCCGCCAGGCGAGCCCACCTCCAGCGGCGCCTGGACCAGAAGCTCAGTGAGCTGACGAGCCAGAGGAAGGGCAAAAAGAAAGACAAGGAGAAATGAAGGACCCGAATCCTGCGTCTTTAACCTCAAAGCCACAGCTCAGCCCCGCCAGGGCAAAGCTGCTGTGCTGGAAGAGGGCGCTCCCTGGGTGGAATATGGGGCTCCATTCTGGGGGAAAACCTGGAGCTGGGAGCCTTCCCGAGGTGCAGGGCCGAGGCAGGGCAGGGAGAGCTGCTGCATTGTCCTGGTCATCTGTACTGACACGGTGATGGATGCACTCAGGGGCCAGAGCACGCTGGTAAAACGGGCATTAAACACCCAAAGCTGTCACTGTCACATTGGTCCCTGCGGCAGCACGTGATGGATGCCCGGGAACAGGCACGTGGGAGGCACGGAAAACCCGGGGTGAGCCTGTGCTCCGGGGAGGATGGCTGAGGAAATGGATGTGTCCCAGAACCCCCTGGCTCTGCTCAGAGCTGGAGGGGGCTCAGCCCTGCTCCAGGTGTGCCAGGGATGGGAATAGAGATGGAGAAAGGGAGGCCTCCAGCCCAAACCGTGCTGGCACCACAAGGAGCTGGTTCAGCACATGGAACCATTTCCCTGGGAGAGCCTTCCTGTGCCACTGGGAGGTCTCTCCCTCCTCACTGCTGCCTGTCCCTTCCCAGATCTGTCCTGCCCTTCCCAGAGAGCTCCTTGGAGGCTGATTCCCACTGGGAAAGCCCACAGTGACAGCAGGTGCAACCACATGAGCTTTGCGGGTGGGAGAGAGCCTTGTGTCCATCCTGGACATTTTCCTAATCCTTCACACAGGGGCCATCTATCCCACCCCCAAAATAGCTCCAGCAGCATTTTTTGTCCCCAGGATGAAGGAGAAGGTGCAAAGGTGCCTCAAATAGGAATGGCTGGAGAGGAGCACTTTAAAAATGCCAACCCCACATATTCCCCATTCTTTTGGGGCTAAACATCACAGATTCCAGCACCTGTGGAAGTCACTCACCTCATCCCAAGTAAAGCTCAGCAGTTGGCAGGAGCTGCCAAACAGCCAAGGATTTCTGTGTCCATCTCTTCCCAAATACTTGGCTGGGATAGCTAATAAGCAAATTTTCCCCCAAACCTTGTGGGCTGTGAGTACTGGCTGTGAGCAACTTCCCACAAAAACTTCCTCATCCCTCAGAAAACCTCATCCTTCACACCCCTCCATGCCTTGCTGCTGTGCATCACCCATGGAGGGATGGCACTGGCTCCCCTGGCAGCAGGTGGGACAGGGAGAAGTGGGGAGGAGGAAGTGTGGGACAAGGGAATCTGGACATCGGTGAGTGGAAACGGGCAGGAAGAGGAGAGGGGGATGATGGAACAGGGACATCACAGCCATGTCCCAAAGGGAAGGTCAGGCAGCACAGATGGGAAGGCAAAGGTGCCACCAGCTCAGGGGATAACTCACCTTGGAGTTACTTTTTAATCAGGGAAAAACAGATAAATGGCTTATTCACAGCTTTTTCCCTGCTCAGATCATCCAAGCAGCCACATCCCAGCCCATGTTCATCCCGTGGTGCCAATTCCATGGCACAGAGTCCCAGACACCCCCAGATTTCCCAGCCTGGCTTCCCACCAGCATCCTGCAGGCAGGGAAAAGCCAAGGCTCCAGGCAAGGAGGGATGTGGCCCCAGTGCTCTCTCTGCTCTCCAGCCTGTGCCATGAGGGGCTCCATCACCCTCCACAAACCAGAGTGGGAATTGGCTCCCCAAAAATCCCAAACCTGGCTTGGGCCAGAGCCCACCAGCAGAGAGGATCCACATGGGCTTTTCTTCTTCCTTCCTCCTGAAACAGGAGTTGGGCTTAAAAATTATAAAATTAGGGAGTTTTCCCACCTGCCTTGGGTCACAAGGCCAAGATGTTCCTCTCTATGCCCGAATCCTGGATAAAATGAGTTCTAGGGTAAGTCACAGCCCAAGTCCAGGATTAGGGGCTGGAAAAAACAATCCCCAGTTGTGAGAGTTGTATTAAGTAGCAGGAATTTGGAGTGCTGTCCTGAGCACTCTGAGGGAGAATTTGGGTTGGAAAAGTGGCTGGGGTGGGAAAAGCTGCCCCTGGTCCTACTGCACCTTTAGGGGATGATTCCCAGCGTGGATCTGACCTCAAACCCAAGACGCTGGAAACCAAGTGGTTGGAAACCAATCCCAGCCAGTGGAGACAGGCAGGGACTCACTGTGTGGGGGAACAGATGGGAGGAGAAGCCGTATGTAACAATTGATTTTCTGCTGTTATTGCTCCCTTTTTCCATTCTCACTGGAAACATTCCAACCCTGGCACAGCGCACCAAAGTCACTACAAAAGATCCCCTCAGGATCACCACCCACGCCAGGCTGGCTTTTGTCACCCCCCTCACGATTCCCACCCAAAATCCACCTTCCAAAGGAATCCCCCCCCCCCTCTCTGAGTCCCCATCTGAGGATTCCGTGGATTTCGAGGCCGTTGGGAGCACACGGAACGCTCGGGAGCCGCGGTTTGGGGACGTTCCTGCTGCTTTTGGTCCGTTTGGCTCCTTCCTGGCAGCTCTGGCCCAGCGCGTGCGGGGCTGACCCGGAACGTGCCCACGGAGCCGCTCTCTCCGTGTGCTCCGGGTGCCCCTGGGCAGCTCGGCCTTGTGGGTGTCACCGAGTCCCCGCTGCGGGCCCGCTGTCCCCAGGATGCGGCCTAGTTCCTGCGGAGCGGGTGCCACATGGAGACGGGCTTGCGGAGCGTGGCCAGCATCTGGTTCCAGTGCGTGGTGCCCATGCCGCTGGCCGCCGGCCCGATGAGCACGTGGCCCGTGTTGTCACCGCGCCCGTCCTCGCCGCTCTCGGCCACCGTCACGCGCAGGGACAGCTCCTGGCGGGCGCGGCGCTGTCACCACACGCGCACGGCCAGCCAGGCCGTGTCCCTGTGCCCTCTCCGGGGGACACGCGCCCACGAGGCCAGCGCATCTGTGTGTCATCACCTACCCTGCCATACCCCACGTACACACGGCCCTCTGTGCCCCCAGCCTGTTCAAACACACCCCCTGCTCTTCAAGGACCCCCAAATCCATAAATACACATCCTCATATACCCCCCACACTTACACATCCCCCTCTTTTTACCCCACATCCCCTAAACCCATCTTGGCCCTGTCCACCCTGCTGAATCCCAACCCACACATCCACATCCTCCCCAAGAGTTCCACCCCACACACATCCCCCCTCCAGCAGCCATTTGCACACATCCACACCTCTCCAAACAGTCCCCACACATCCGTATACCCCACAACAGTCCCCACACATCCGTATACCCCACAACAGCTCCCACACATCCACACACCCCACAGCAGCCCCTACACATCCGTATACCCCACAGCAGTCCCCATACATCCGTATACCCCACACATCTATGTACCCCACAACAACCCCCACACATCCTTATACACAACAGCCCCACACATCCATGTACCCCACAACAGCCCCCACACATTCATACACCCCACAGCAGTCCCCACACCTCCGTATACACCACACATCTATGTACCCCACAACAGCCCCCACACATCCACCCCAAACCAGACCAACACACACCCAGGACCACCCCCCAGAACCCCACAACCCCCAGAACCCCACAACCCCCAGGAGCTCCCCACTAGTGGGTTTGGGGAGCCTGAGGAGCGCTGGGATGTGTCCCCCTCCCCAGCCCCCCGGGCTGGGCCAGACCTGGAGCACGATGGCGGGCACGGAGAAGATCATGGCCTCGTTGAACACGGGGTTGGTGTCTCCCCTCTTCACCGCTGTCTTCTTCTTGCTGATCTTCCTCCCGTCCTGCAGCAGGTACACCTTGACGAAGGGATCTGCTCGGAGGGCAGGAGAGGGATCAGTCCCACGTGTCCCCAGCGGTGCGGACAAAGCGGGGGGACCCTTTCTGGTGGCCCTTCCCAGCAGGTCTGTCCTCACAGGGAGCCACTCCCGTGCAGCAAATGGGATAAATCAGGACAAACCCCACCTTGCAGCCCCCCTTTACCTGCAGTCGCCTTCCCATTGCTCCACACCAGGTTCTTGGCTTTGACCACCACCACCGTGAGCCGCTCGGCCGTGGGCAGGTAACTCAGGGAGAGCAGGATCTCCCCCACCGTGTCCACCGCCTGAGGGACACGACAGTCAGCACACAACGTCCCAAAACCCAGCTGGGAGATGGGACACTGCCCGCTCACCTTGTTGGTGTCCTGCAGGTAGAGCCAGGCGTTGAAGGGGCGCGTGGCCAGGTCCAGGTCGGAGAGCTTGATCTCGGCCACGCCGGTGCTGACGCTGCGCTCGTCCTCGTCCACGCCGAAGACGGAGAAGCGCAGGCTGTTCTCCTCCAGCGCCGCCGCGTCCAGCGGCACCGAGAAGCGCTCGTCGAAGGCCACGGAGTACGAGCTCCTCTGGATCTGCCGTGGGAAGCGGGGATAGCCCTGGCACCCCTGCGGCTTGGGGCTGCACCCCTGCTCTGCCCCATCTCGTGGGGATTTGCAGGGAGGCATCCCCAGGGCATCCCCATCCAGTTGGGAGGATTTATTCCCGACCTGACTGCAGCAACTGCTCGGCCATTGGGGTGAAAGTCAGGGCTGTGACCTGCCCCGGTGCCTGTTAATTCTGTTAATTAGAGAATCAGAGCTGGCCCAGTGCTCTCAGATAGATTCCAAGCTCCTGGGAGTGCGGATGCACATCCAGCTTGGCCATACCACACAACAGGATTTATGGCTACAAGGTGCAACCCCCAGCCCTTCTCCAAGCAGAACCAAGTCCTGGATGTGCCCAGTGGGAATGGAGCTGTTTGGCTGATGCTGTCCCTGTGTCAGATCATTCCCTGTTAGCAGAGGCAGCAGCAGCTCCCATGGCTCATCCTGCTGGTGCTGATCCCAAAGAACTGGCCGAGGGGAAATGCTCTGAAGTCATGGATTTAGGGATTATTTTTCCCCCTACTCCAGCCCTGTTTCAGCACCCAAGATGTCACAGGCAAACCAGGGGTTTGTCCCAAGGGATGGAAAGCTGCAGCCTTGGATAGCATGGAGCAAAGTGGAAGCACCAGCTCCCCAAAGCCACCCAAATCTGGGTGCAGTAGGGACCTCTCTGTGGGGCTCTGTCACCCCAAAGCCCCCCAGGAGAGGGTTCATCTCCTCCACGGACTCTCTCCTGTCTCAGCCTGCTCCTAGCCCTGCTCCATCCCTGGGATAAAGGACACAAAAGCAGCACCTGCCATTCCTGCCTTCTTAGTCCATGCTCTCCCACTGGATACCACCAACCTCCAGAGTTCCCCGGGGGGAATGAACTTCCTCCGTGTGAAGAGCAGATTTTAAAGCCCTACAGATTTTACAGACTGTCTGCAGCCCACGCTGCATTTTGGGAGCTCTGGATCAAGTTCCCCGGGGGGAATGAACTTCCTCCGTGTGAAGAGCAGATTTTAAAGCCCTACAGATTTTACAGACTGTCTGTCTGCAGCCCATGCTGCATTTTGGGAGCTCTGGATCAAATACAACCAAACAGGAGCTGCTATTTAAAAACCCTCCAGAAGCACTAGGAAAAAAAAAAAGCAGCTGGGCCTTTATCCATGGCCTTGGGGCAGCCAAGGAGGTAAATTGTGCTGGTGAATTATAAATAATGACACTAAATAATAAATATCTCCAGAGCATAAATAAAGAGCCAGAGATTTGAATGGGAAAATGGTCTAAAAGGGCACTGTGGAAATATTTTGGAGGCAGCAGCCAGTTTGTGGGGATGGAATGGCACCTCCACCCCAGTGGAGAGGTGCCTCAATGGAGTGCAAATTCCCACTCCTTGCTGGAATATCCTGCTTAAACCAACCTGACTCTGCAATTGAGGAGCTGCTAGAAGAAAACTGAGGCTCCTGCTTTCCAAAAGCAGCTTTTGAGGCACTTAAAAAGGGACGTTTTGCAGCAGATCCAACCCTGGTTGTGGCTGTCAGTGCTGCCACGTGGATTTTCCACTGCCATGTCCTTTGTGGGGAGGGGAAAAGCATTGGGGCTGCTGTGGGGACTCAGGGGACTGTGGGACATGGGAAGACTCCAGCAGCACCTGCCCAAACTGCCACCCCAGACCCCTTCCTTTCCCCAGCAGGGTCAGCCAAGCAGAAAAACTTGCCACCAGCCACGCTTAGAGATGACAAAGTCAGCCCAAATCCCAGCCAAGGGGAGACATTCCTGCCTCAGCCGAGTTCCTGATGTGCAAACCCACCTGGGACATCCCTCAAAGTCCTGTGCCAATCCAGAGCTCTCTGCTCCCAAATCCCATCACTGCTGTGGGGAGCTGAGACCCACCCCAAAATCTCATATCAACCACATCCAGCCTGGAATTGCATGCACCCAAACCCCACAGTTGCCTTGGGGAGCTGATATCCTCTAAATCCTGTGCCTGCCATTCCTGATCCTGGCATGCCTGGAGCTCCCTGATCCCAAACCCCACCAATGCCTTGGGGAGCTGATATCCCCCAAATCCTGTGTCAGCCATTCTTGATCCGGGCATGCCTGTGGCTCCCTGCTCCCAAACCCCATCACTTTCTTGGGGAGCTGATATCCCCTAGATCCTGTGTCAGCCATTCTTGATCCGGGCATGCCTGTGGCTCCCTGCTCCCAAACCCCATCACTTCCTTGGGGAATGCGGCCAGGGGAGGCTGCTGCCCAAAACCCCAGGACAACCCAGGTGTGCACAGGGCTCTGGGGGGCTCTGGCTGGGCTCACCCGGGAGATGCCGACGATCTGCTCGGCCGGGAGCAGGCTGATCCGCATGAAGCAGGACTCGAAGCGCGCCTCCTCCTTCTCCAGCAGGTCCTTGCCCTGCAGCAGCGTGACGTGCAGGGCGGCCGCCCTCCCGTCGTACTCCATGCACACCTCCACCTGCCCCACCGTGAAATCCTGCCCGAAGTTGTTCCCGATGGACGAGATGGAGTTGAGGGAGTCGGCCGAGATGGATTTCCGCAGGGGGCCGCAGTGGGCCAGGCCCAGGTCTCTGCCCATCAGCTCCAGGCTGCCCAGCTCCTGGATGCTCTCCAAGGTGTCCTCTGCCCTCAGGCTGCTCTTGCGGGATGAGGAGCTCCGGCCTGGCGCCCGCTGCGAGCCCGGGGCCAGCCCTCGCTGCCAGGGAAAGGAGAGCAGGCGCTGCCATCCATCCCATCCCATCCCTTTCCATTCCATTCCATCCCCAGCTGGGCTTCTCCGGCATCTCCTTGGATGCATCCCGGCCCCTGCCTGGCCTCAAGCTGCCGCGGCAGCGAGCCCAGAGCTTCCCGCAGCTCCCAGCTCCAGCGATCCCCCAAAAATCTCCAGCAGCACCAGCTTGCTGCCTGTGGCTGTTCCACCCCGCGAGGGGATCCAGGAGATATTCCCACCCCTCCAGCATCCCGCAAAGGGAAGGAGAGCAGACAGACTTCCCCCCCTTACCTTGTTCCTGATGTCCGGGCACGCCGCTCCGTACTTCTGCTCCAGGTACCGGTAGTCATAGTTCGGGAAGGGGGAAGGGGCCGGGTAGCTCCCGGAGCGCCACAGCTTCCACAGGTTGATGGCTGCGATTCCCAGCAGCGCCAGGGCGCCGGCGGCGTAGAGCCCGATCTCCCACCGCGGCGGGCTGGAGGCCACTGCGGGGACAGGGGGCTCCGTGAGCCGGTGACGGCCCCGGGAAGGAGCCGGTGACGGCCCCGGGAAGGAGCCGGTGACGGCCCCGGGAAGGAGCCGGTGACGGCCCCGGGAAGGAGCCTTCAGCCTCGGCTGCTTCCGCGCCGGGAGCTCGGCTCCAAGCTCCGAGGATGGGATGGGCCGGGGAGCGGACAAACCGCGGCTCCCACCCGGGTGGCTGCAAAGGGGTCGGGCAGAGGCTCTGCCAGCCAGAAAATGCCAGCCCCGGCTCGGCTTTCCCGGGAGATGAAGTTCTCCCGTGTCCCAGCCCGCTTCCCAGCGAGCGGCTGTGTCACCCGCCTGGTGCCGGGGGTCCCTTCACTCTGTCCCACTGACAGATGTGCCCTGCGCACATCTGCATCGCCCTCGGCCCAGCTGCTGCCCGGGCATGCCAGGAAAAGCCGGGAGAAGGGAAAAACCAAAGGGAAAAGCTGCTGGAAGCCGGCGGAGCGAGCGGGGAGGGAGCGGCGGGCTCGGCTGCGAGCGGATGGTGCTGCATTGCAGCATCGCTGCCGCGCCGGGCCGGCCCCGAGCGCCCCGAGCCGCACGGAGAAGGGAAAAGAGAGGATTCCTCATCCCGGATTCCTCATGCCCGAGTCCTCCGGCACCGGCACGCCGCAGCGCTCCCTCCTTCGGAGCCGGAAAAAGCCGGGCTGAACTCCCACATGGCACCCGAGCGCAGGGACAACCTGCTGCTCCCCCCTGCCCTCCTCCAGCCGGAACAGCGGGGGGAACTGAGTGCTCCCAGCCAAAGCGAACTGGATCCCGGGAGCAGCCCGCAGGGGTGTCCGAGGTTAAGCATTGGGATGGGAGCCGGGCCCTGCTTCATCCAAACCCCAAAGGGCTCTGCTCTATCCCTGCATCCCGGCCAAGGATCCTGTGGGAAGCACTTGGAGGCTTCCCGTGCCAGAGCTCCCAGGCTCCTGCTGCGGTGGAGGGGCAAAATTGGGAATGAAAATAAAAATAGCAGAATAGTCTTTTACTGGCTCCTACCTCTGAGGAACTCCAAGCGCAAATCCCAGCTGGACTGGAACCTGCTTCCCCCTCATTCCTGCCCGTCTCTGAGGGCTGAGCACTCATGTTGGAAAACTTGGAGGTTTTAAGGGTTTTACCCTCGCTTTAGGGAACAAAACCCAGCGGGCACACGGAGCAGAGGCTTCTCCCCATGGAAAGGACCAGCCAACCCTTCCCCAAAACGAGCTCGGTGTGAGCACCAGCAGCTCTGCCCCAAACCCTTCCCGGCTCCCCGGGGAGGACTCACCACTGAAGCGGGATCTGCTCACGTGCCCAGTGTCCATGGCAAACGCTCCCTGCGAGGGGACAGCCTGGAATGCCGAGACACGGCGTTAGCACGGAGGGGGAGAACTCAAAAAGCGAACGCCTTGTGATTTTCCAGCAGGGACGCTCCATCACCTCTCCCCCTGCATGGCTCCCGGCCCCGGCTCCCCTCGCAGGCGCTGAGCAAACGCGCTGAAGCCTCCCAGGCACCGGCAGGAGCTCGGGAAGGGGCAGAGCCGCTCGATTTACCACGGCAGCCTTGAAACAGGCGACATTCCCATCCTCTCTGTGTGCGGAGTCCCCCCTCCAGGAGCCCTCAAAGCCCTTTGCTGCTTTCCCAGCTGAAATCTTCCTTTGCCTCCTGCAGTTTCCCAGCCTCTCCCGAGGCTTTGCCCCGGGCCCAGCCGAGGAGGGGCAGCCCCATTCCCCCATTTTGGGGTTTAGGGGATGTTCTTCCCCAGGAATCAGCTCCTGCAGTGGGAAAGCTCTGTTGGCTCCCCCCTCAAAAAGGATTTTTCCCAGTCGAAAGGAAGCTGCTCTGCCAGGCAGACCCCAGCACAGGCACCATGGATGCTGGGGGGGATTTATCTGAGCCAGCTACTCCTGCTATGAAAAGGGGGCTTTGGGATCCCCAAAAACACCCACAAGCAAATCCAACGAGGACTGACCAGCACCCCCTGTTCCCTGGCATCCGTGCTGGGGAATCACAGACCATGGAGAGCTGGTGGGATCCCACAAAACCTCCTGGGGACACAACCTCAGCACTGCACCTAAACCCCCCACACCTTCCTGAGAGCCCCCCAGCCCTTCTCCAGAATTCCCAAAGCCCACTCAGAGCTGGACTGGCCTCAGCCAGAAGGTTCTGCAATGTCTGGGCCCCACCTTCCACCTCCCCTTGGGTGCTCCCAGGCAGTGGGGGGTGATCAACTCCCCCCAAAACCATCCAGGCTTGCATTTTAACAGCAAAAGTGGGAATTTCATGGCATGGAATATCAGCTGTGCTGGCCTGGCCCCCTCTGCAGGGGCACGTGGCCCATCCTTGGGATGGAGATGGAGGAAGGGGAGCCCTGAGTAACCCAAAGTGACAGGGATGCTGGGATGGGGCTGGGAGATGCCCAGTTCCTCCCCACCTCCCCCCTCTGGCACAAATCTCCCCGTGCAATGGATAAAACATTCCTGCCCTGGCTGGGAACGTACTGAGCTCATGTCATGGGCTGAGCTCAGCTCAAGGCCCACTTTGCTGTTTAGTGCTGAAAACGGACATCTTAACAGAGAAACATGATGAAAATTTACCCTAAACTGCCTCTTTTTCTGCCCTGAAAAGCCCCTGTGCCCAAGCAAGGTGCTCTGCTCCTCTCCCTGCTTCCCAATTATTTTTAATATGAGAACAGCAAAGTTTTCAGGACTGACTTTCCCTGCAGGAAGACAAACCTCCCCTTTAAACCCCCTCCATCTCTTCCCAATTTCCTCTGGAAATTAGAAGGAATTTCAGAGCTTCTCTCCCCAAAACCTCCCTCCCTAATGAGCTCTAAGCAGCAAGTTAAGCAGATTTCCAAGGTGTACCTGGAAAGAGACTGCAGTGCTCAGCACTGGGATGAAACCCAGAGGTATTTTCCTGTTGGGAAAACAGCATCAATCTCTCCTGAGCGAGGAAACGGGGGTGGAGGTGCTCGGGGGAAGGATTTATGGCCTTTTTTTGTTAACTGAGCTCTTCCCTGGAGCGTTGCACCGAGCTGCTCTGACATCCCCCTGACCTGCTGCTCAAATCCCTGGGAAATCAAGCCTGAGGCATCGGGAAGGGAAGAGGCACTGCTCTCCTGCTGCTGGCAGCACAGGGATTGATGGGTTTTTCACCCTCAGACCTCAAGATCAGGCTGCAGAGCCCTGGTTTGGGGTGCAGAGCCCCGGTTTGGGGTGCAGAGCCCTCTCCATCCGTCCCAATACCCCAGTGCCAGAGCAACTTCATTTTCCCTGGGAGCTGCTGCAGAGCTCGGGTCCCTTTTCCTGCTCGGAGGGACAACAAATCAGCTCAACGAGGGAGAGAAAAGCAGCATCAAAGCCACCTGTCCCCGCGGAAAAGGGGGTCCCGCAGCCCTCATGGGGCTGTCACCTCGCTGCTGCCAAGGCCACAGGCACAGAAACCCCAGCTGCTGTTCCCAAAGCACCGGGAGCAGCCTGGCTATGACCCCCTGAGCACTCTGCAGTCCCCAAATGTCCCAGCCCAGGTTCCAGCGGTCTCCCTGCTCGTCCTCCCTCCCTGTCCTGGCCCAGGCAGCCGAGGCCGGTGCTGGGTTCAGCTCCCGGCGGTGCCGGTCCTGCAGCGCTGCTCTGCCAGCCCCCTCCAGCCGCAGGGCACACAAGCGGGATGGAGTTTACTCCTGGCACCGATAAAGACGCATCCCAAACTTGCCAGAACAGAAGGATTTGGGCTCTGCTCTCACCCATCGCCTCCCCAGCCCCCCAGAAGGGACACATCCCACCCACACCGGTGCCCCCCGCGCTTTACCTGCACAGGTACAAATCCTCAGGGATCCGCGGGGACCCCCGGGCGGCCCCGGCATCCGCCGAGCTCTGGCCGCTCCCACGGGGCAGGGGGGACCCCGCGACCCCCGGGGCCCGCCCGGCCGGCGGTGGGGACCGGGCAGAGCCCCCCGCGCCACCCGGGGGTCCCCAGCTCAGCCCCGGGATCCACGGGTCTCCCCAAGCCCGGGATGCTCCCGGCCCCCCGCCGCTGCCCGGGGGTCCCTGCGGGTCCAGAGCCCGGCCCCGGGACGGATCCGGGATGGATCCGGGCTGGACCCGGGATGCCCCCCGCGGCCGGGATGCTTCCCGGCGGTGCGGGACCGGGAGCGGCTCCGCTCCCTGGCCCAGCCCAGCCCGGGGCGGAGCCGCCGCTCACCCGTGCCAGGAGCTGGGCGGTCTCTGCGCTCGCCAAACCCTCCCCGGGGCTTGGCCCAGCCTGGGGACCCCGGGGGTCTCTCGCTCTGGTTTGCCTGCCAGGCTCCCAGCTTCCCTGAGGAAGTTGCCATAAAAAAACCTCAACGAAATTCACCCCAAACCCCTGCAAACGCATCCCAAATCCCAGCCAGGAGTGAGGAGGGACAACGCCAGATCCCTCATCCCACACCAGAGACCCTCTGCTGTGTGCTTGGCCATACCAGGCTTCCCCAAATCCCACTTTTAGGGACTCCCTGGTCCATCCCACTGCATCTCTGCATCTCCAGCTGCTCCTTCCCCTGGATCCTGACGAGTGTTTGTCTCCATGGGGTCCCATGTCCCCTCCCTTTGTCCCTCAAAGGCTGCAGAGCCCCTTGGGGTCTCTGGATCACCACCCCAAAGCGGAATCCCTGGGTTCTCCCTTGTCCCAAACAGCTTCCAGCTGTGTCCCTCCTGCCATGGGGACACCTGGGGCTGTCCAGCAAGGTTTTGGCTTTGGATCTTCCTAAAAAAAAACCACCAGATCCTCTCCCTCTGCAGCAGAAAGTGGAACCTTTTGGGGTCTGGTCCCAAAAGCCCCTTGGCCAGTTTGGCTCCATGCCCACCACACCACAGCCACTGGAAGACTGTGCCTTCACACCCTCCTGTGGGATCTTCCCTTTCTCTGCCCTCACATCCATGGCTCCAGCCACCTCACCTTCACGTCTGGCAACTTCCAGGGCAGCAAGGAGCAATTTCAGACAGCAGGAGAAACACTTTCCTTGGAGAAAATGGAATAATTGCGATTTTGTGGGGAAAAGAACACCCACACAACTGAGAAAAGATGGGGCCAGAGGCCATGGAGCATTGTGACATTCCAGAGGACATGTAATTCCCAGGAACACCCACATCCAGCCACGGGGCCAGCTCAGTGCTGGCAGCAGGCTCCCTGCTCTGGAAAGATCCAGGGAGGGCAGCACTGGGAGATGCTCCCATGATTTCCTGGTGGAAGTTTATTTTCAGGGAGAAAACACAAATTTTGTACAAAAAATGCTGCCTGGGTGGGAGAGCAGCTAAGGCTCCTTTCCATGAGGCTTCCTGGCTCTTCCTCTGGGTACAGCTGGAAAAGAGCAGGCCATGGTCCCTGCCCACTTCCCAAAGCTCCTCTGCATCCCAGGGATGTGGCAGGATGTCCCTCTACAGGACAGCTCAGGACCCAGCACCCTCCTGCTCGGCACCTCAGGGCTCACCACTCCACACTCTGGGCTAAAGTGACCCCTAAAGCTGTTCCAGGTGGGATTGGATCAGGCTGAGGTTTGGGAATTCCCAAGCTGGGCACCTGGATCCATCCAGCCTCACACAGACTCCAACTCACCCACTGAAAACTCCTCCTTTTTAAAGCCAACACTTACCTTTGGCCAACTCTCCATGAAATTGGTGTGACCACAGGTGGGAGACATGCCCCAGGTGAGCTGGACACTCCTGTGTGTGGAAGCAGGAGCTGGCCACCTCTGCCCTCCCACAGCATCCCATTTTAGCCACACCAAATGTTATTCCCACGAGGAATCTTGGCTTCCTTCCACCTCCTCCCTATGAGGCTGCTGTGAGCACTGCTCCCAGGTGATCACAAAAGGATTCCTAAAGCCGGGTGAGTTTGCAATGACCAAATCCCATCTTTTTCCCTGAAAACCTCAGCCCAAGCTCCCCCTCAGCCCCCTGGCTGTGTGTGTGAGGTGACAAGAGAGGACTCACAGGCACACATTGTCCTAAAGGACAAACCAGCATACAGAACTACATGGACAGGATCCAGAGTGTCCCTGGGATCCCTTGGATGCAGACAGATGAGTCAGTGGTTCACGTATGAGGTAAAAGCTCCCAGATCTTTCTGGACATTCCTCACCAGGTGCTGCCAGCGCAGGTAAGTGGCCCCTTGGCGGGAGAGGGGTGCAGTGACAAGTCCCCCTGTGTCACCTGGCCACCTCCCCACCTGGGGATTCCTGACTTCCCACTGCCCACTTTTTATAGGTGGAAGGCATTTTACAAACTAAACCTGGGAGAAATGCAGTTGGCTGTCATTCCCATACAAGACAAAACCAGGTTAAAAACCCAGATGTGTGCTGGGCAGCAGCTCTGCAAGCCCCTGCCACTTCAGAAGTTTGGGGTTGAACTCTTGGAATTGTACTGTGGCGTTTGTGTCACTTCCTTCTGGATAAACACTTCCCTGAAATACAGCCAGATTGGATTAAGCAGTGGCAGGGTGACGTCAATGCCCGGGCCAGCGACGCAAGGGCTCGGAGCAGAGGGTACAGAATCCATGTGGATTAGTGGAGCTCTCACATTTTGGAATAATGACCTGGGGAAACAAAGCTGCCCAGGCTTCCAATTCCCTCTCCAGGATGCTGAGTCACCAGCAGAGACACTGCCTGGCTCAGGATGCTCCCTGGCTGTGCTGTGCCAGGGACGTGCTCGGCCTGGGCCTGCTGGTGGCAGGGGGACAGGGATAGGGGTGTGACACTGCAGGGATCAGCTCACTCTGGAGCTATCCTGGAGGGAACAGGGCAGTGACAAAGGGCAGCAGAGCCTGACGTGCCCCTGTCAGACCCCAGAGCAAACCCCCAGCAGTGGGGACACAAACCCAGCTGAGGATAGAGCAAAGAACTCCAGACTGAGGGGACACTGCCGGTTTCTGCTTGTGACACGTTTTACTCCGCAGAGCGAAGGCAGGTTGACCTTTCCCACTTCACCTTCCCTTACATTTAAGAGATGACCGAGGCTAAAAGAGAAATTAAAAATAAGAGCTAAGGAGAAGCTGTCAGTCTCCCCAGAGCTGGGGCACACCACCCACGTGCCGCAGGCTGCTGGAAGTCAGAGGGATGCCCCACGGAGGGGCTGGAGCAGCAGTGCAGCGTGGTACATCCTGTGCAAGAAATGCAGCTTGGCCACACGTCCCCGGGTGCCCGCGGTCACCTCGCCCAGCGCTTCACCCAATCCTCCTCCACAGCCCCAGGTAGCTCCAGCAGGAAGAGCAGAATTCATTTCCCATGCCTGGTCTCTGTACACTCCAGAACAAGTGTTCCTAATGCCCAAACGCCCCACGGAGCTCTCGGCTCCCTGGGAATGGAGCAGCAGATCCCTGTGTGCCATGCTCTGAGCCCCATCTCCACACCTGGTTCCCAGGAAGACACACGGCACCTGTGCGGGGTCAGCACTGACCTCCCTCCACACAGGCTTCCTCTGGCCCCGCCCTGGTGACACGAGGAGAGAGGGGGGCTGTGTCAGTGCCATCCTCCCCGCGAGGATTCCCACACGCTGGAACACTAACAAGGACAATTAGGAGTTAGGTAGGATAAGATTGGGACTGTGCACCAGGCCTGCTCGGGCACCGCGAGTTCCTGTCAGCCCCGTGTCCGTGCTCAGAGCTTCCTCTCCCGGAGCTTGCTCCCGTTGGGCTCATCCAGCAGGGCTGAGTGTCCATCCCCGTTGCTCAGGCATTTGTCCTTCTCGTGCCTGTGCTCCTGCTTCTGCCGCCGGATCTCCTTGTACCGCAGGGTGATGTCCCTGCAACACACACAGGACACAGCTCCAGCCTGCGGGAGGAACAGCAGGAACCTCTCTGCTTCCTGGGATAACAACTCCCTGGAGCCTCTGGCTGGGCATTTCTACAACTGCTGATGGCACTGATTCACTGGCAGTTTGTGTTTCTGCCTGGTGTCTGGCTCTTCCCACCACTGCCAGGGCACAACAGCCAATCCTGCAGGAGCAGCCACTGCTGCCCCCTCCACACAGCACTGCACCTCAAACAATTGTGGAATGCTTTGGGTTGAAAGAGATCCTAAAGCTCATCCCATTCCACCTCCTGCCATGGGCAGGGACACCTTCCACTATCCCAGGCTGCTCCATCCAGCCTGGCCTTGGACACTTCCAGGGATCCAGGGGCAGCCACAGCTTCTCTGGGCACCCTGTGCCTCACCACCCTCATTTTTCCCTACACCACACCTAACCCTGCTCTCAGTGCAGAGCCATTCCCCCTTGTCCTGTCCGTCCAGCCCCTGAAATGCAGAGTCCCTCTCCAGCTTTCTTGTGGGTCCCTTCCAAAACTGGAAGGCTGCTAATTCCCTAGGCCCTGTGCAGCTGCTTTCCATGATCCAGACAGGAAACTGCCAGGATCAGTCCCAGGGAGCTCCCTGTTTATTTCAGAACTTGCACCCACCCAGGAGAGCCGTGCTCTCTCCCCAGACAGTCTCAGGGAGCACATTTGAGGACAGGGGTTGAACAAATCCTGCTAAAAACCCTGGCCAGCCCCAGCTGCAGCCCCACTCACCGGATGAAGAAGCGCCAGGCTGTCCAGGTGAGCACCAGGATAATCCCCAGGATCCAGCACTGGGTGATGTAGAAGGGCAGGGAGAGGGTGAGCGTGTAGGGATCGTACTTGACGACAATCAGGAACTCCGTGGCAGTAATAGCAGCAACCAGCCAGGCCTGCTGGCCCAGCTTCTTGTGGAACTTCCTGCAGGAGAAACACAGACAAAAACATCTCATTGCTGTAAAAGTTGGGATGTGGAGAAATCTGCACAGAAAGACAGCTGGGGCAGTGATTTCATTCAGCTTGGCACAGTCCTACAAGTCTAGTTCAGATCACACAGGCTCTAAGGCTCTGCAGAGTGACACTTTCACGTTGGTGTTAATTCAGTTTCCTCTCAGAGGCTCTAAAAGCAAGAAAAGTTAAACTTCACCACCACACAATGCAGCAAAGTGTCCCCATTCCCAGGTAAACCCACAGGAAACCATTCTCTGACCAGCCTGAGACCAGCTGATGTTCAGGGTATGGCTCCAAACAGGAGCTTCTCACACACGAGACCCAGAGCCATATTTGAGACCAAAGTGTAGTTCAAGCTACACCAAATCATCCAAATACACCGGGAAAAAATACGGAATAAATCAAATGTAGGTGAGTGCTGATGGAGAGGGGATGAGTGCATTCCTTCTTAAAAGGTATCCTGCCTGGATCAGCTCGGATGAAAGGGCTGCAGAAACTGCTCCAGGTGGTGACAGATTAAATGGGCAGAGACCAGCCCTAACCCACAGGCAGAGATGAAAAGAGAAGCAGCAGATCTCTCACAGGGAATTCCAGTTGCTGGGATGATAAGGGCAGCTTTCTGCTCTGCTGGGCTGCTTCTTCCTCTGCCATCCTTTCTCTGACAACAGAATCAAAGATAACCCCAACACAAGAGCTGGGCAGCCCCTAAGGCTGCTGAGGAAGAGAGCTGGTTTCCTGCCCTAATATTCAGGAAAGATGTGAAAGATTTTTCTTTTGATGAAGGAGATAAAACTTCATGGCCTTGATGCAGACTCCTTGGAGGTGAGAGGAAGATTCCATCAGGAATGTGTGACTGGGTCAAATACTACAAATGCATCAAGACACTCCTGGTCAGGAACATTTCACACATCCAGTCCTCAGGAACTCAGAGGCAGCGTGTGGTGTGTGAGGGACGGAAAGCTTCACCCCCTTCTGGGACTACCACAATTCCAGGCACTACACTGTCACCATGTTCAGCCCAAGGTCCTGCAAGCAAAGCCCCAGAACTGCCTGCAGATACTCAGAAGGCTGAATGAGAAAAAGAATTCTTCACGCTGGAATTTCACTGCTTTCTAGACCCAGCATTGCAGGGCTGGC